CTATGGAAGCTATGAGGCAGGGCTATTGCTAAGATTCACGGTCGTCAGATAGAACATGACTGGACATGGTTACATTTATTCTAACGACGTCATGAGGTTTTAATATAACGTACTCAACCTATGTAGAAAAAATTCCATAATACTTTATACATTTACTCTCCTTGGCTAACAATACTTAGCATAAAAATTTCAACAGAAACTGTCATAGTTATGGAATAGTGGAAGATAAAACAGAAATAAAACTATCGTAGAATTTAATATTGCTTAATTTTAGTAAAGTTTTAGCGATGTTGTTGGTATTATTGAATAAGTCAAAGCTGTTATAAATGTGTTATTTCGGATATTCACGCAAAGATACACAAGGGCTAACTGTGCTAGACGTCCCTAATTTTGAAGGCTAGAGCAGAGGGAAGGTGGCTAGTCAAAGGCATCCACCGTCAACTTGTAGACTGCTCTAATCGAATAGCGGCATTTAACCGTTACTTTTATAACGCACCCACCGCCCCAAATTGCGAAGCGCAATTTTGAGCTAAAGGATCGCGAAACATAGACTCTTGGACATACAATTCGGTATTCTAATCACTAGGCCACGCCCAGTCCACTTATATACGTTTTTTGTTCTATTTCTTAAGTAAAAGTACTTGAATGATTCTGGGATTTTCAGTCAAATTTTCAAAACTTAATCAGAACAATGATGTAAATGTGTATGAATACGTCTAATGTTTAGGAAAATGTATAAGTATAGCTTGTATAGTATATAATATAAGCTATGAGTGTGAAAATTAACTAATTTCAAACTGAGCTGTGACTCACGTTTCTTGTTCTACTTATGGCAATAGTTACCTTTTAGAATACTTGAAAACAACAGACTATGAATTTTTTAGAAAATGTTTAAAACCTTCTCAAAATATACAATTTCTTCCATTTTCCGTAAAGCCCTCTCTCCCAGTGGGATTACAACGATAAAAATCTAGTTTCGATACCCGTGGTGGGCAGAGTACAGACAGCCCAGTGTGTAGTTTTGTGCTTTACAACAAACAAATAAATAAATTTCCCGTAAACCAGTCTTCTGAAGATTATCTTTATGTGATACTATTTCTGAGTGGTTTTGTACAGTGCAAACTGGATCATATCAAATTGTGTAGATAATATATTAAATTCGAAATGATAGAATGATAGGTTTCTTTTTTTGTGAGTGTAAAACACTTAAATA